GGTGCAGAGAGACTGGCCATAACTCGGCGTACGTGCAAGAAAAGATACTCTAGGTACTGCTTTAATCTATTATGTTAATATGTAGTAAAACAACTATATTGTGGTGGAACTACAGGCTTATAGAGGTGCGCAGGTTTGGTGGGGTGCGGCGCTCGCTTGCCTGCGGCGCTCGCTTGCCACATACGTTATATTAAAATTAGTTAACGTGTTTCACCAGTAAGCGGGCCACCCCAGTATGTGGGCCACCTCCCCAAACTATTACATCTTTGTAATAGTATTGCGCAACACTACCACAATATTTTTTATTAAGTAGAATAAGATATTATTCTTTAGACGCATTGCTATCCTCTGTATCCTCTAATTCTACTTAACAAGTGCGAGAGTTGTGTCCAATTTGGCTGCAACGCCCGCAGCGCCGTTCACTACGCACCCTCTTCGCAGACGTTGCACCATCATTATAGCTACCACCCTCTGCCTTAGTGATCTAATTAGCTATCTAGCCAACTGTCTAGGACCCCTCTGCCTGTACGTAGCGCCTCTTACGAGTTTTTCGCTTCGTTACTTCTATAATCGTAGCTTCAAGGCGATTAAGTTTCTCCTACATTAACACTATATTATAAGCTATCTGCTAAGCTCCCTTACTTAACTGCTGTATCTGCTCCTTAAGAGAACTTGTAGGAGACCCTTGCTAGATTTGCATACAGTTTCGAATAAGCGTAGCCTGCGCCTCCATTTCGCGCGCGTTGCGCGGCGTTTTCGGCTCCCAAGCAGTAGTCTCTTGCGCTGGTGGAGTTGGCGTACGCAGCATGACGTTAAGCTGTGATAAAACAACGTTATAATCGTGCGGTGAAAGTCCAGCACCTTAGAACCCTCCGCGGATATTTTCTAGTGTAATAGCCTTATAATAGGCCTTTTTAAACGCTGGTAGGAAGGTTTCCTTGCTAATATAGTAGATGCGATTGCGTGCTAAGACCGAGATAGCATCACCATACGCGCGCTTTAACGGCGAGAAGCAGCCCACATCAAGAGGCTGTAAGAGGTGCGACGAGTGGGGAGGCATACAGAGGAGGATTATCTTCATCTCTTCGCAGAGATCTCGGAAATCCACCGAGCAGTGGCTCTCATGGCCGTCAATAATAAGCAGCCTATGCGTCCCCACAGGCCGCGCATGGGAATTAAAGTAACGAAGCCAGTCAAGCGCTAGATCGTTGTTCGTCTAGCTGGTAGGACTAACTTAGATCACCTAGTCGCGTGGCAGATCCTCTGTGAACTAGGTAGAGATCAGAACCTTGCCAGCGAAGATAAGAAACGCTAGGATACGCGTGCCTGTTGCGCCAACGCCTTGTATCAGCGTAACCCACTCACGATTGCCTAGCTGGATCTTCTTTGTTCTCCCTAGTTTGTCTAAGCCTGTGATAACTAACTATGATAAAATCTTGCCTATAATAAAGCCAGTCTTATTAAAGTTATAGATATCTTCGTCCACGATACCATACTTTGCCTTTATATTCTAAACTAGCTCAAACTAGCCCTTAATAAGCGCTAGGTCTTCGCAGAGAGCTCGCTAGTGATCGTATAGACGGCTCCAGCGCGTACGCAGCTCAGGATTGCGCTAGACAAACCTATCAACCCAGTTCTTGCCCACCTCCTTCCCGCCACGCTCTCGGAGCAGTCTGTTGGCCATATCTCGCACGTCGTCTTTCCCACAGGGTAGTCCTCGCTCAGCCTCGACTATTACACGCATAGTAATAGCCTCCTCTTCTAGTTTTGTTAGGCGCCTTGCTGGTGGCTCCCAATCGCTTCGAGGGCGCTGTCCAGCTCGTCGACGCTAGATTGTTGTTCGTGGGACGCTATAGGCGGCAGCAGCGCGTCGTTCACTCTAAATTTGTTTAGAATTAAAATTAGTAATAGCAAGAAATAGATCTACTTTAGTATAAGTTTTTAACGCGTTGCGTTGTTAAGACATTACGCGTTGTTGTTGCAAAGGTGGGATATCATAGGGAAGTGGCCCACATACTGGGGTGGCCCGCTTACTGGTGAAACACGTTACATATATAAGCTTAGTTATTATTTTCTTATAAAGGCTTAAAATATAAAACTTTATTAGTAAAATTAATTCTTATTAGCTATAGAAAGCTTGAATGTTTTTTATTAAAGAGGGTGCTAAGATATTAGGAATCTCTATCTTAGGTTAGTCTCGCCAAGCTCTCGTCACATAACAAACGCCAAAACAGTTAGAACGCCAGAGAAGCCAAAACGCCAGAGAAGCCAAAACGCCAGAGAAGCCAAAACGCCAGAGAAGCTAGAAAAGCCAGAAAAGCCAGAAAAGCCAGAGAAGTCAGAACGTTAGTACTTACAGCCAGAACAGCCAGAAAAGCCAGAAAAGCCGGAGAAGCCAGAGAAACCAGAGAAGTGTTACAAGTAACAAGAAGGATTCTCTCCTTGACGGGGAACGACGAGGTTGAAGGCCAACCACGTCCACGTCAGAAGGTAATGATCATCGCGGGGCTTGGGGTCACGTGATGCGTTCTCCCGCCAAGAGCCGTTCTCCCGCCAAGGAAGGGATAATGGGCCAGGATGGGAGAAGGCGTTCTCCCACATCTCCCAGAAGACAAGGATGTCAAGGGAGAAGAGGGAGAACAGGACAGAACACGATGGGTATAAGAATGGGTTGGATTTCATTATTACACTCGTTGTGGTCAACTCTTATAAGTTCTTCTCTTACACAGATTGATACTTAGTTATTCTATCTTCTAATAGAATTAGTTTGTCTTACCAACCCAGTTAACTCCTATAACTTCTCTCCACCTTATCGCCAGACAATTACCTCACGGATACTTCCACAAGATAGCCTCGCCCTAACCCGGACCGAGACTAGGTAAGTATAGTTTCTGATAGTGTTAGGAAACCCCGTGTAACAAGAAGCCAGAAAAGCTAGTACAGCCAGAAAAGCCAAAAAGCTTAAAAAGCAATAA